CTGGCTCTCCTAGGATTTTCGAACACCCAAAAGATGGTTTAATTGCCCATTTTTAACGGATTTTCACCGTAAAACGGTCAACTAGAATTTTCGGGAGCCTTTTTCGCGCTAAAATTTTCGAAAAGGTTAAGTTTTGATCCCTGTAATTTTCGGTTCACTAGACTTCCAGCTAGGAAATCCGAACAGATGAAAAATTTTTAGGGGATAAAAATGTGCCTGTATCTACTGTTTAAATACTAACATACGTTCAACGATGCTATTTTTAAGTGGTTTTGAACTATATTCTCGTTGGGTACCCCTGAAAACACTTTTCAGAGCATAATTTATATTTTATCAAAAAATCGTTCTTAGTAAACTATTTTCAAATATAGTATTTAAAATTTCCAGCGAGACTCCGTTTTAGCAAAAAATAGGAAACAGAATAATTAGGAAACTCGAAAATGGATCCCTTGTCCTACATAAACTGAATAAAGAGAATCTGGCCGAAGGTCTCATGAAAATTATGCAAATTAGGGCATTTTCTAAACGTTCGTACAAAAACAACGAAGTTTGTCTTCGTTTTTATAGTTTTGAATAATTTGTTACGCATTTCTCGAAGTTACAGTCAAGCTTTATTGTATTTAATTAGGCTTTCCTTCATATTCTACCCTCGCAAAGAAGGTAGTGTTTCGTACTTTGTTGAAACAGTGAGTTTTACCTCCTTTCAGGATGTTAGGATATCAAGGGTATGTAAATTTAGCGTTTGTTAAAGGGCTCTTTTCAACAGGGCGCGCGCAGCAAGCTTGCAGTTGGGGGAGGAGGGGGCCCACTTCGAAAGGGTTAGCGTGAGTCAAGCAGGGAAGTGCTGGGGCATGCTCCCCCAGAAAGTCTAACAAATTTATTTGGACTTAAAGTCCTCTGAAATGGCTGGAAATGCATTTAAAACTAACATGGTATTGTGAAAATTCTGTATTTTCAGCAACAAAAAAGCGATGTCTTAAAACAACAATTTATATTTCCGCTTAACTTATCATAACTGGCAATTAGTAACGTATCGCCATATCCACAAAGCTCAACTCAACATACGATTGCCCTCGAGACAGCGGTACAGCGATTTTAACTCAACAGTGCCAAAATGAATTTCAGGAAAGCTAACAGTGTAACTACACTACCGAAAAACCAAGGTAACGGCTGGTTGTCAAGACATCTTTAAATCAGATTCTTTAAAACTGCCAACATTTGTGCAGTAGCGCCTTTCTTGCTCATATTACCATAGACCAGGGCCACAGGACTGAATGACCCAGGATACCATTATTTTATATTGTATCGTAAATTTGCAGCAATGAAAGTGAAACTACTGTTCTTCTTTTCTTTCGTTCTAGCATCAGCTGGTTTAGTTCGTCTCATCGCCGCCATAAATAACTTTCGCAGCCACTGAACTCGAGCTCCCAACAGGTAGGATTTTTTTCCTGTGAAACGTCTTATATACCAAACCCGCTCATTAGTTCTGATCGAAACGCACCAACTTTTAATTTAGCCATTTTCCTGTGAGGTCCGCTTAGCGAACAAAAAGTCAGACAGTTAAGTTCTACATCTCGTCGTTCAATGCTGGGCCGGGATACTAGTAAGAAAAGNCCTTTCTTGCTCATATTACCATAGACCAGGGCCACAGGACTGAATGACCCAGGATACCATTATTTTATATTGTATCGTAAATTTGCAGCAATGAAAGTGAAACTACTGTTCTTCTTTTCTTTCATTCTAGCATCAGCTGGTTTAGTTCGTCTCATCGCCGCCATAAATAACTTTCGCAGCCACTGAACTCGAGCTCCCAACAGGTAGGATTTTTTTCCTGTGAAACGTCTTATATACCAAACCCGCTCATTAGTTCTGATCGAAACGCACCAACTTTTAATTTAGCCATTTTCCTGTGAGGTCCGCTTAGCGAACAAAAAGTCAGACAGTTAAGTTCTACATCTCGTCGTTCAATGCTGGGCCGGGATACTAGTAAGAAAAGTTAATTAACAACCCTTGTCCGCTGTGAATAATGAGGGGCGGGCTCCCCGTGCGTTTTATACTGTATCAGTGGTAAACAAGGCCGAGTTATTTCAAGACAAAGAAAGAATTTTAATTAGACGAAAAAGCCACTTACCATAAGCATTGGGAAACATACACTTTTTTCAATTTCCTCGTCTGTTAGGCTATCCGATGTCCTATGCATGCTTCCCAATCCCTTGGCTTTAATTTCCTTTTGTTTTGCTCTCAGAGTAGCCATTGTAGTTTTAAACACAGCGTCAGTAAAAATTGTGAAGCCGTACTGAGAGAGTTCTGCTTTTTCGGATATCTCTGGAAGCTTGAAAGAAAACCTCTCAAACTTGTTGGTCCATGGTCTGAGCCATCTTTTTTTTCTAACGGCAAAGATGAATTTCGAAAGGTGGTCGTTCATAACTTGTGATGAAACTGGCTCATGAAGAGATGTTGAACAAAGCAAGCTAGGGTTTGATGTCTGAATGAAATTCTTGAATAACTCATACGGTGTTTTCCTCTTTATATTCGTATTTTCTTGTTCTTCTACGAATTCGATCAGTTCCTCATTTGTGATCTCAACAAACCTGCTTCAGCTTGTCTCCATTTTATTAATAAACTCAAAACGTAACTTCGACTCGCGAAAAGACCAACACAAAAACTCCGAAAAGACCAAACGACGGAAATCCACAAGTGCTTGACAGTGCGCAAAAATACTGTGAGACAAGAGAGGATAAAGGGGACAGAGAAGGCATCCCCTATACACACCCTATTCCATAGGTAATTCGTCTCGAGTTATTTTTAGAATCGGGATAAAGTTACCTCGCGCGCTGCGTGGATGCTTCGTGGAGGTTTCGCATGACTAAACGCCGTGCAAAACATGTCGGACGAAAGGCAATGAAAGCGTAAAGAGATCAAGAGCATTTCTGAATATTGAAGCGAAATGAGTTGGCGCTCACCTGGGAAAAGGGAATCGCTGTACTCTTTGACAACCCGTGAAATCAGTTTAACTCGAAGTTGTCGTAACCTCGGTGCTTTAATAAAATGAGAAATTTCGCCGGTCTATTGAAATCGGTCGTTTGTATAATAAAGCAAGTAGGACGCCAAGTGTTATTTTTGTTGAATAATAAAAGACTAATAAAAGAATAAATATCAAACCAGAAATTGCTCTTCAAACTGTAAATTATAAATGATCCTGAGAGAATATTCAGTGTGTTACGGATTTCCCTGCTGTACTGTTAGCTCTATACAAGAGAGGAACGGCGATTCTTTCTTAATTTCCGTCTCGCTGACACAGGTTTAGCATAAATCTCTCTTTAGTCGTTTTCGTCGACAAAACAAATAGCAATATCGCTCTCCGCGTCTTCCGCCATTTTTTTCTACGTCAATTCGTGAAGGACGCCTGGCTCTGAGCGTAGGTCATCCACCCAGAACACATTCGCGCTATGTGATTGGCTGTTGTCCAATCCCCCTTGGGATCTATGGTCTTAAAAATAACTCGAGACGAATTACCTATGGAATAGGGTGTCTATGGGGGTTGCCTTCTCCGTTCCCTTTATCCTCTCTTGTGTGAGATTATTGGTCAAAAATGATATCACACATATGTGGTCATAACTTAGCTAGAATATTCGCCAAATCATTAACAATTATTCCTCGATCCCGAATAGGCTCTGAGTCAATAGCCCATGAGCCGAAGGCGGAATAGGCTATTTAGACTTAGAGGCCATGAGGGGGAGAGGAATAATTGTTTTAGTAAAATCCAACTAGTTGGTCAAAAATATCGACACTAAACAACTTTAGCGAGCAAAACGCGATTCAGCCGCCATTGTTTTGGTTTTCAAAGCCGGCACTTTTCGCTACTAGTGGGCTATAACATATAGCCTAGTAGTAGCTTAACCAGTCAGAACGCAGCATCGATAACAGACAACTTGTTGGATTTTACTAAAATTTAATATCCTGAGCGTGCTTCATATTCCCATTGAGCACGCTGATGACGTCAGTAAACTATGCCTCGAGTTCTTGTGAGCTTAGAAATCCTCCCAAGACGTCTTCTAAGTGCATCCATAACTCAACAGTCATGATGAAGCGTTAACCAATTGTGTTTTGAATTTATTTACCGACAGTAGGGAAAACAGGTGAGTGTTGTTGTTGAAATCTGTACGAGCTGTGCGGGCTATGGCGTGTGCAAATCATTCTTTGCAAAGTTATTTCTTTCAAAAAGAATTTTTCGGAGAATTAATAGTTTTCCGTCACCTCAATGTGAATTTTACAATCTTTTTTAATGTTATCTTGAGCGACTTGAGCAAACTTTCTCACAGTTTCAAGACAAAACCATAAATGTGAGGTAAAAAAATATAGTCTCGTTAACATTGACGCGTATTGCTTTGAGCGATAGCTACAATAATAAAAAAATCAACGAAGTTAACTGCTGCATTGATCGCTTTGATAATGTTATAAAACTATTAGTTCATGCTTCAGCAGTGCGTACGTGGAGATATACGACTCCTTTTCTAACCCATTGGATGTGATAAATGCGTTGACAAAAAGTATAATATGGATAAAAATTCTTAACATATTATAAAAAGCAAGTAAACATGATCTTCCTTTTCTCTTATCAGGCCTTGGCAACGGCTCTCTGGCAAAGATAATCCAATCTTAAACCGGTGTCAGAGCATTCATGGAGAGAGGTCCGGGATCAGGTGACGCCACATCAGCAGATGATGAAACACTCCTGTTTGACGATGACACTTTAAAGGGTGAGGCGAACCTTGCTCTTTTCTTTCCATAATGTAATGTCAACAGTATAAAAATTTTATCCGGTTAGATGGAAGATCTCTGTTATTCACAAATACATGTACATTTTGTCACTGAGTGTGCGCGGGCCTAATTTAACTATTTTCAATCCTGGCTGGGAGTAGACCGATCAAGAGCAAATAATGATTACGTTGGTTTATCACAAAAAGTTTTAAAAAATCACTGAAATAATTATAAATTGCTGTATTATAGCAATTGCAGAGGTTTACAACAATGAGGGTTACGATGAGTACAACAAACAGAATTTCAGCAGCGCCATAAACTTCTACACAGAAGGAATTAAAGTGAACTGCAAGGATAAAGAACTGAACGCCAAACTGTACAGCAACAGGGCAACAGCACATTTAGATTTGGGTAAGAAGTTGCTTGTCAACTTTCTAAAGACTTTTAAATGTATCGATTTTGTAAGGACAGTTTTTGTAAGAACAGTCAAGCAAGGCGTGTCAGTTACATATTTCTAGTCATGCTTTATGTTTTACGCTTTCTAAAGGAAAAGACCACAAATAAGAGCTGCTCCGAATAACTAATTTCAGTTGCTATTCATTGGTAGAATGCCTAAGGCGCGTGCAATTCCATAATTGGTTTCGGGCTCCATTAATTCTTTTGCAAATGGCAGGAGATTTTAGAAGGACCCGCTACAATGTAAGCACAGTAACTAATAGGACAAGTTACTGAGAAAAACAACCTAAAATATACTGTAATCTGTCACAGTACAAACCAGGTGAACGTGTCAACTGAACCGGTTCTTTTTAAGGTGAAATTCTTTCTGCGTTCTTTCTTTTCGCAGGGAACTACACTGAAGTTCTAAATGATTCAAAAATTGCCATTGACTTACTACCATATTTTTTTAAAGCTTGTGTGCCAGGTAAATCAACTATAAATCCATCTACACTGAATATTTCTCTCCTGACCACAATTATGAGATTATTAATTTAATTACAGTACAAACCAGGTATAAGTGTCAACTAAACGCTCGCGTACGGTACAACTGTTGTCTTCTTACCGCTTTTCCGGGGGTTGGTTCCTCGGACAACATTACCGGCGCCTTAGCTATTTCAGCCCCCGTAAGGTAAATAGTTTTTATTATATAACTAATTTTTTACCTTGTATTGTTATTATTATTATTATTACTATTATTATTATTATTATTATTATTATTATTATTATTATTATTATTATTATTATTACAAGTGATACCGATAAAAGTAAATTATAATTATTTTATTACACTATAACATATAGATCGTTTTCACCTTGCTGGCCGCTAGCATTTCTCATTGTCTCACCACCGCTTTGAATTTTCATGTTTTTCTTCCTACGTGTCTTTTGTTTTCAATCACTCGCTCTAGCTCTTTCTCTGTTTTCCACGTGAGTGTAACCATAAAAAATTACGTCGAAAAAGACACGACTTTGTTGTTGTTATTTCTTTCTTAAAGTCCGGGTGGCCATGCGATTTGTTTCCAAATAAAACCTTGACTTGCATTTCGGTTGCCATACCTGTTGATTGAATTATTTTACATTGGTATGCATGTGGTGCGGACAGACTCTCGGGGCGGTCGGTCGGTGTACGGTCACGTGATTACCAAATTTTCTCAGATGGGTAGTTCACCACATTTTCTTACCCATGGTGCTCCGCTGCGCGCGCTTCGCGCGCGAGAGCTCCGCTTTACGTTGCAGTCGCAGATTTGACAAAGTCGCATTTAATTTGAAACTGTCGAATTTAGTTCATTCTGACGTCCCATCTCAAAGCAGTTACCTCTCGAATTAAATTAGGCACTTGTTAAAATCGACGATTGAGCCAGTTGAGCTAAGTAATGATAACAGTGTCCAGTATTACTAAAAATACCAGTAGATGATATGATCTGATACATACCGCATTTTATATATTCCCGGCCTGTAAACAGTGCTTTCAATTTACCACATTATGTTATTGGCTATATGCACCACACAGGTAAAAAAGAGATTTTAGAACTAAAAGTTAACGTCTCCGATCCACTGGACCACCTCGGTAAAGGCTGACAATTAGAGTTTAAAAGAGGTATATATTCCTTTTCCATGGTGATTGACAGTTTTGAAGCATGACTTTTTCGTTTTTTTTTTTTTTTTAATTTCCTTGTAGAATTTAATCTTTAACTGATCGAAGCTAGACTTAAAGGTCACAACAAACCCAAAAATACTCTTTCAGGCTTAGTCCATGCCGGAGAACGTTTAAGAAATCTATGGACCATCGATTCGTACGAGGGAGAGAATCGTACGATCATACGGTTCAGTGCTCGTAAGGTGTCTTTTCATTGGTCGGGGAAAACATTAACATACTCATTGTTCATCATTACTTCCATTGTTTTAGGTTAGGGTAGTAAACCATTTGGCTTTTAGGGTTAGAAGAGCTGCTACATGACCTCTCTCCTCGGAACGAAGAAAAACAATATGAACGCCAAATGCACCCTTTTAGTTTTTAAAGTTCTCCTTTATAGACACAAACATTGAACATTTATTTCGGCAAACAGACAGTTAAGTTAAAAAGGATTTTACAAAAGTCTCAAGAGCAGATCTCCTTTAAGATTTTAACTTGCAATATCGATCAATTTACGCAACTTTTAAACTTCTAGCTCAGTTCATTTCAGGTTCTGCTTTGAAAAGGGAATGATAATTACTTAGAGACAATACAGTGTAAAGAATTGTTGAGAAAAACAGCAAAAACGTGCCAATTTATGCCAAAAAACGTACTTTAAAAACGAACTAAAATATTCAAAACGCCTTGATCACGTGACTGATGATGTCATGTCTCTCTTGGTCATGAAAAAAATTATCAAGTAGAACATTACTTTCCCGCAAATTTTCTCTGCCGTGTGATAAATGGTTGACTCTCTACAGCCCTCGGCCTAGTCTCCCCACTTTTTCACTCATGTTCTTTACCCCCTTAAATTTTAAATAACGGACGT